ACATATTTATGACTGTTATGTCTTCTTGATGCATCTGTCCTTTTATCATTATGTCGTGACCTTCCTTGCCTCTTTTTATAGTTTTTAGTTTAAAGTCTATTTTGTCAGATATAAGAATAGCTACTCCAGCTCATTTTTCTTTTCTGTTTGCATGGTAAATCTTTTTCTATCCTGTTGCTCTTAGTCTATGTGAGTCTTTGTGGGTGAGGTGGGTCTCTTGTAGGCAGCATATAGCTGGGTCCATCTTTCTTATCCAGTCAGCCAATCTGTGTCTTTTGATTGGGGAATTTAAGCCTTTTACATTAAGAGTTGTTATTGAAAGGTGTTGATTCATTCCCAGCATTTTATTGGTTGTTTGGTTGTCTTAGGTGTCTTTTGTTCCTTGCTTTCTGCTTTGCTGTTTGTTTTCTATGTTTTTTGGTTCCTTAAGATGTAGATAGCCTTTCTGTTTGTTTGTTTTCTTTTCATGATTGTCATTTTTATTATACTAGTGGGTTTAGATTTTTCTTGAGTTTTTATGGCAGTGGTAGTTATTTTTAAGGAACCAAACCCAGTACTCCTTTGAGAATTTCTTGTAAGGGTGACCGTGTGGTGGAGAACTCCTGCAGCTTTTGTTTGTCTGAGGAGTATATTATTTGCCCTTCATTTTGGAAGGACAGCCTTGCAGAGTAGAGTATTCTTGGCTCTCAATCTTTGTCTTTAGTATTTTGAATATATCCTGCCATTCCTTTCTAGCTTTTAGGGTTTGTGATGAAAAGTCAGATGTTAGCCTGATTGGGGCTTCCTTATAGGTGATTTGATGCTTCTCTCTTGCAGCTTTTAAGATTCTCTCTTTGTCTTTGGGTTTTGCCAATTTGACTATAACATGTCTTGGAGAAGATCTTTTTGGATTGAATATGTTTGGGGATCGTTGAGATTCCTGGATCTGAAGATCTGTGATTTTTCCTATTCCTGGGAAGTTTTCTGCCACTATTTTGTTGAATATGTTTTCAATACAATCTCCTCTGTTTCCTCCGCTTCTGGAATACCCATGACTCGGATATTTGAGCGCTTAAGGTTGTCTAATATCTCTCTCAGATTTTCTTCAATGTCTTTGGTTCTTTTTTTTTGCCTGCTTGTGTTATTTCGTACAGCCCATCTTCATGTTCAGAGGTTCTCTCTTCAACTTCCGCAAGCCTGCTGGTTAAACTCTCCATTGTGTTTATTTCGCTGAATAACTTCTTCAGTTCGGCATGTTCTGCTACATTTTTTTTTTAGGACACTGATTTCCTTGTACATTTCCTCTTTCAGGTACTGTATACTTTTCCTCGTTTCATCATGCTGTCTAGCTGAGTTTTCTTGTATCTCATTCAGTTTCTTTAGAATTATCACTCGAAATTCCTTGTCATTCATTTCAAGGGCTTCTTGTTCTATAGAATCAAGAGTTTGAGATTTATTGACTTTTGTTGGTGTACTTTCTTGGTTTTTTGTGTTTCTCGTATCTTTTTTTTTGATGTTTATTCATTCTGGCAGGGGGATTCACAGTGCACAGGTTTGACCCTATTGACTGACTAAGGTGTGGCTATGTTTGTCAATTTGGTATGGCTACCTCTGTGACTGCTCAGTTGGCCTCTAGTGTCTTGTGTGTGTGGTTGCTTCGGGTCTTGGGCCTCTCCAGGGAGCCTCCTCTCTGGTCAGCTTGGACTGCTGGGCTGCTGGATCACGGGACGGTACTGCAGGGTGTGTGGTCTCTTTTGAGCTTCCACTTCCCGTGTAGAACTTCTCTCTGTTCTGTGCGCTCTGCCCTGGCTCCTGGATCACGCATTGGCGGCTTCACAGGGTGTGTGTTTTCTGCCGAGTCTCCGCCTCCCTATCTGGACGTCTCCTCGCTCTGTGCGCACTAGGTGGGGCTGTTGGACCTTGCAGAGGCGGCCCGCAATGTGTGTGTTTTCTGCCGAGTCTCTGCCTCCCTAGCCGAACGTCTCCCCGCTCTGTGAGCACTGTACTGGGCTGGGGCGTGTCTTCTGCAACCCTCGTCTTTCAGCCGGGCCTTCAAGCCCCTGCTCAGCACTGCCCCGCCCAGGAAGACTTTCAGGTTTCCGCTAGGCGCAGACGAGCGGTCACTCTGGGTGCCTTTGTAGCACTGAATAGGGCTTTCTCGGGACTTATCACCTTCCTCCTGGTATTGCGGTTATTTGTGTACTTGTCTTATCTCCCACACCAGGGCGTGAGCTCCTCGGGGGAGGAGCCCACAGCACACAGTTCCTCTTTGAATCCCCCCTGCGCGGACCGACTCCGGCGCCCGCCCGCAGTCAGCTCTCTGGCAGGTTCAAGCGAGCTTGGGAGCGCTCCGACCACACTTTTCCTAACCAGAAATCGGTTAGGTGTTTTTCTGAACTGATGGCCGAACTGATGGCTGCAGAGATGGTATCTGCCTCCCAGTAACAGGAAGTTTACCGGGGGCCGGAGCCCAGGGTGCAGTGGAGTGACAATCGGCCCGGCCCACTCTTCTCTGCCCTCCCGACGCTGGCCGGGGGCTCCCCACGCCACCAGCCCCGCCAGAGAACCGCGGGGGGAGTGGAATGGGAGGCCGGCCCTCAAGCCCCGGAGGGCCCGCGCAGGGGCAAGCAAGTGGTAAGGCTCAGTGAGGAGCTGAGCCGGGCGAGGAGGGCAGGCCTGGCCGAGCCAGCCGGCTCCGCCCCCAGCCGAGAAAATGGAGGCAGCCCTGGGGCCGGTGACTGGTCTGGTGTGGCAGGCGGAAGCCGGACGGGCCTCTGCCCCGCAAGCAGGGCTGGGCTGGGGTCACTCACAGAGCTGGGCCAGCCGGGCAGCTTTCTCTCCGTTTCTGCGTCGTTGCCGTCCCCGTCCTGGCCGCTGCCGCCTTGGGCTGCTCACTTGGTCCCGCGGCGCGGCTTGGGCGCTCTCAGTAATCTTCTTTTGTGTTGGCCCTAAACCTCAAATCTGTAGTTGCTTTTTTATAGTTGTAGATTAGTTGATCAAAGACTTATTCATTTTTTGTTGCTCTTGGAAATGCAAATAGCACTCTGGCAGCACAGCGCACACTTCTCAGGCTCACGCTGTCTTCTGGCGCCCCCACTCCAGACCCGTTGCCATCTTGGTCTCGGAAACCTCCAATGGTTCATCTTTAATAACTTACCCAGTTGCTTCTCTGGTGTATCAGCCCATTTTTGTTGCTTATGACAAAATACACAGAACTGGGTAAATTTATAAAGAAAATGAAAGAGCATATATCTAGAAATTTATTGAAAGAAAATGAAAATTATTGCTTATAGTTTCTGAGGCTGGAAAGTCTAAAGTCCATCTAGTGGTGGTGACAGTGACCCAGGGGTCTCATGTTGCAAGACAGTGGAAGCAGAGCAGAGAGAGAGCAAGACAGACTCTCCTCTTCCTTTAAAGCCCTCAGAACCATGTCCCTGACCACCATTTTTAATCCATTCACTACTGAACGTTCCTACAATTCAATCACTTCATCAAGGCTCCACCTTTCAATTACCATAATAGGATTTCCCACGCTCTTAACAGTCACAGTGTGGGCTAAGTTTCTAATACATAAAACTTGGAGGGGAGGACAATTCAAGTTCCAGTGAGTTGGTGGGGGGGACATAATTCAATCCACTACATATGGTATTTGTCTAAGTTTTTTCTTTCTCTGTACATTAATTTTGGTAATTTCAATTTTGATAAAAAAAAATCATGTTTTCTCTAGGTTCCAAATTTGTTGCCCTAAAGTACACACAGTTTTTTCTTATTCTGTTCTATATATCTGTGGTAATGTCTCTTTCTCACTACTGATTTTGTACATTTTGCTCTCTTTCCCTTCTTCAGGCTCATGAGATGTTTAGCCATTTCAATAGTCTTTTCAAAGACAACTTTTCAATTTATTCTTTCCACTATTACTTTTTCTACCATTTCACTGATTTCACATTTATCTTATTTTTCTCTTAGTTTCTTCTGACTTATCTTGATATTCTTTTTCTAATTTCTTAACATGACTGCTAGCAAAGTTCCTTTATCGTGTGCAGTTGATTTTTTAAAATGAAGACTTTTTAAGGCTATAAATTTTCCTGAGTACAGCTTTAGCTGTGTTCCACTGAGTCTGGTATGTAATATTTCTGTTTTCATGATAGTTTATAATTTCAGTTTTGTTGCTATTCCTTCTTTTATTTCCTCTTGTTAATTTGGAAGTTCTGTCCATTTTCAACCATTAATGGTTACACTCCCTTTTCTAGCACTCAAAATCAAAATGTGTTTTTCTATTTTTTGGAAACCAGGTATTAATGATGTCAAACATGCTTTCCTTGCAACAAGATGCTTTATTTCTTTACTGCTTTCCTTCACCCTCTCTCTCACTAAAGATGTGAACTATAGAATATTTTTACTTTCCTCATCCAACCCTGTGAGACCTCTCCTCCAACTTCTAGGTTTTACTGAGAAAGTTTGGTATTTTTAGTTTCAGACAACTATTATTATTTCCTTTTAGTCTGCTTTTTTCTATTACAAAAATCCATATTTAGCACATATTTCACACATTTGGTCTTATAAATGCTGAAAAAAAAAATCCCTACCTGTAATGTTCTATGGGAAAGATCCATGAGTTTCCTCTTGTATTGTGCAATTTTGGCCATAGTTGTAGTTTGATTCTTTTGTAGCTCACTGATATCTTCAGATATGATCTGTTTTTAAAAAGTGTTTTACATAAGCCAAGTATAGACATCACATTTATCAAGTACACCTATATGCAAAGTCTAATTCTGAGGTAAGCCTAAGATTCATCTCTCAAAATGTAAACTCTTTCCCTTTAAATCTACCTTTATATTTCTTCCCTTTTTATACATCTAAAAATTAAAAAGTACCATTCAAAGATTTCTTTAGAACTCCAGGATATTTTGTGATGAGGAAATGTTTAGAAAGAACAAAACATATACTTCAGAAATAATTAAGAAATCTGAAGTAATATTATGGAATAGTCAAAATAGACTAGAGAGCAAAGAAAATTACCAGGGATAAAGAGGGACATTACATAATAATAAAAGGTAAAAGTGCTAAGAAAACACATCAATCCTAGATAAATATGTACTTCACAACAGAGCTTCAAAATATATGAAGAATAAAACTGAATGGAGAAAACGACAGATCCACACTGCAGCTGGAAGACTTCAACTCTCCTCTCACCTTCATCAAACTAGTAGACAGAAAACTCAACAAGAATATAGAAGAACTGAAGAATACTGTCAACCAACTGTATCTCACTGACACTAACATAAAACTCCACCCAAGAACAGAAGAGTACACATTCTTTTCAGTCTCCTGATTCATGAAACCTTTACAAAGTTAAAAGAATTAAAATCATACAAAGTTCTCTGACCATAATAGAATTAGACTAGAAATCAACAATAAAGTACCAGGAAAATCTCCAAACACTTGAAAATTAAACATACTTTTAAATAACCCATCAGTCAAAACATCCAACAGTCACTAGAGACTGGGAAGGGGAGGGGCAAAGGAGGGGAGGTTGGGAGAGGTTGGTTAATGGATACAAAATCACAGCTAGATAAGAAAAATAACCTCCAGAGGTCTGCAGTAGTGCTAGGCATCTATGATTAACAATAATTTATTGTATGTTCTCAAATGGCTAGAATAGAGATCAAATGCTCTCATCACAAAGAAATGATAAATTTTTGCAGTGAATATGCTAATTATCCTGATTTGATCATCACACACTATATACATGTATTGAAATATAACTGTACCTCGTGTCAAAAAAAAAAAAAAAATCCAACAGTCAAAAAGAACTCTCAAGGGAAATTAGAAAAGATTTTCAATGGATCAAAAATGAAAATATAACATCAAAATTTGTGGAATTCAGCTAAAAAGTGCTTAGAGAAAAATTAATAGCATTAAATGCTTACACAAGATCTCAAATCAATAATCTAAGCTGCTACCTCAAGAAACTAGAAAAAGAAAAGAAACCCAAAACAAACAGGATAAAGGAAATTATATAAGCAGAAATTAATGAAATCAAAAAACAAAATGAGTAAAATCAATGAAACCAAGTTTACTTTTTGAAAAGATCGGTAAAATTGACAAATCTTTAGCAAGAGTGATAAAGGGAAGAAATAGTTTCTTTGGTCTTACTCTGAAAAACTTTGGTCACACCCCAGTTACAGTACTGTGAGCAACTCATTTTAAAAGTGATGCTGATAGGGGCTGGTTGGTTAGTTCACTTGGTTAGAGCATGGTGCTGATAACACTAAGGTCCAGGGTTCGATCCCTATATCGGCCAGCTGCCAAAAAAAAAAAAAACGTTGCTGATAAATTTGGTATGTCCGGCCTAAGATAATGAAGTGTATGGAAATCATGTTACATGAGAACATGAGAAACCATGGCGGAGTTTTTAGCCAGAGAGGAGAGAATACTAAAAAGGAAAATTGATTATGATGTTCAAATATCTGTATGTCTATCATATCAACAAAGCAATGCCAGAGAAAATGGATGTGAATGGTAACAAGGCAGATACTGACTCAATGTGAGAAGGAAAAATTGTACCAATTAGAGCTGGTTGACAATGAAATGGGTTCCTTCATAAAACAGTAAGCTTTTCATTACTGAGTCTGAATGAATATCTATCTCATCAGGAATTCCACATAAGAGAATATGAAGGTGACCTTTAAGAACCTTTAGGTATTTGATTATAAAAGTCTACTTTCTGAACTAAAATATTAAGTATATTGAAACAATAATTTAAATTTGCTTCATCAGCATACAATGACATACCAAGACAATTATGACAATATAAAAAATCATAATTACAGCCTTCATTTTTGTAAGCCCCCATAAGTAAAAGCATTTAATAAAGAAAATATGCAATCTCTGGCTGGAATTAGAAATGACAGCAGTTAATTTGCTAAGCCAACAATTCTAAATTCATTGTTAAATTATATCAAATCAGATATATATGGTTTGGGGGAGCCTATCAAAAAAAGTAGTTGTATAAAACTATAATCATCAATTTACAATGTACACCATATTGTTTCTCTGCAAGATAAAAATAGGAGCATGGTAAAAAAAAAAAAAAAAAAAATTAAATATCTATAATCTCTCTTCCTACTCCCAGGGCCAGAGAATGAATAAATGCTTACTTACATCTAACCTGGTCTGATGCTGCTTAGTCATCTGATCTTGAACCTTCAATCTTCGGAGAAGTTCTTTGAAACCAACCATCGGTACAGGAATTAACCTGAAGAAATGCAGGTGGTCGATTTTCAGAGCATAAGCCCATTATTACAAAATACAAGAAGTTAAAGTTTTCATAGTAACATTCATGTAATTTTTTCATGTAAGTTTATATCAAATTTCTAGGGTTCTTTTTTTTTTTTTGGCAGCTAGCTGGTACAGGGATCAAACCCTGAACCTTGGTGTTATATCGCCATGCTCTAACCGGCTGAGTTAATCCACCAGCCCAAATCTCGAGGGTTCTAAGGCAGATCTATGCCTTTGAAACCAACAATGTTACACCATAGAGATTTTATTCAACCACATACTTTACAAGTGAGGAAATACAGTTCAGTCAAACCATTGCATTATTAAATGAGAATGTAATTAGGAACCGGCACTCAGATTTCTCCATTCTTAGATAGTTTTCACTGCAGTATGCTGCCTTACTAGTTGACATTTTCAAAAAAGCTATGAAAATGAAAATAAACTCACTTCAAATGTAAGAATTATAAATGATAGCTCGCATTTGTTTGCTTCCCTAGTAGCAAATACTGTCATATCAAACAAGATGAAGATACACTTACTTTTCAGAATCAGGGTTATCCACCTTGGCTTGTTCCCAGATAATAGGATCAACACCTACCACAAAGAAAAAATATTTATTCTAAAACAAACTATTTTTTATTTTTATAATATTTGTATGAGAAAGGCTTTCCTGAAGTAAGACCCAAAACCTAAAAGCTATGTTGAAAAATGACTGTCAAATATGATCACTATAAAAATAAAAATTTTCGCAGCGTAAAGCTAAAAAAAAAGTATAGATTGAAAGGAAATACCTATAACCTATAGGATAATAAACTAACCTCCAGAACACAGAAAGAGCTCCTGAAAAACAAAAAGGAAGACGAAAAAAATCTAACAGAAAATGAAGGACACGAATAGGTAATTCAAAAAAATGCAAATATCTAGTTACTAAACATATGAAAAGATGCTCAACTTTACTAGTAATCAGGAAAATGCAAATTAAAATAAGTATTAATTTTTAAAATAATTTTTTGCCACTGATAGCCAAAAAAAGATGAGGAAAATAACACAATCCTGTTACAAATGTAAATGGTAGAATTTTCTCTAGAAGGCAATTTGGCAATATCTAGCATACATATCTAACATACATATTATTGACTCAAATTTCATTACCAGTGATCTGCTCTAAAGAAATATATACCCATGTGTTGTAAGACATATTTACAAGGATGATAGTTGTTGCATAGTTTGAAAAAGTGAAAAGACAGAAACAACCTAGAGGTTAAGTAAAGTAAGGTATATTTGTGGAGTACTATGTAGTGATTAAATACGACTTATCAAGCGCGATTGGGTTTTCACGCTGTTATATGAGATGTGCCTCCTCATAAACCTTGCTATGACTTGGAACATAGAAAAGAATAAAAAAACCAGTAAGATTTACCTTCATGTACTGACATGGAAAGTATTAAGAAATACTGTTAAGTGAAAAGTTATCAAGCGCGATTGGGTTTTCACGCTGTTATATGAGATGTGCCTCCTCATAAACCTTGCTATGACTTGGAACATAGAAAAGAAAAAAAAAAACAGTAAGATTTACCTTCATGTACTGACATGGAAAGTATTAAGAAATACTGTTAAGTGAAAAGGCAAGCTGTAGTACATGTACAGCACAATCCTTTTTTAAAGGACCTACATGTACATATGCTTACATTTAAAATCACAAATAGAGGATTAAGAGAGTACAGTCAATTATTAACTGGTTACTTCTGGGAAAGGGAGTTAAAGGGAATCTATCACATACCAATCTGTTATGCCATCTACAATTTTTTACAGTGAGAATAAATTAAGGTTTTACTTCAATACTTGGTTAGAACAAGAGATAAATTAGAAAACATAAATCAAAATATTACGAGTTAACTACCTTTGGGTAGATGAATTATGGACTATTTTTCTTTAGTTCATCATTTCTAATAAACATATTAGGTATACAATAAAAAGACTAAAAAAACGAATTAACATAGTAGAAATATTCAAAATTATGTCCTCAATAAGCAGACATGTGATAAGTTGACACTTTTTTTTTAAAAACATTAATAATCAGCCAACTCCTCCCAAAATAAAGGGAGCATTTATTTCTAAACCCTTCATTTTCTCAACTCTATGACTCTACAAACATACCAGCTGGAGGATTCTGTAAAAGCTGTTTGATCTGTGCAGGAGAAAGTTCTGTTCTAGTCATAGAGAGGGTTACACCAAGTTGCTGCAATTGTGTTTTTATATTGGCTTGCTCAAAATGAGCATATAGTGTTGTAGCTGGAACTCTTCTTGAAGTACCATTTGGAGAACGCTCAACAACATAAATGACAACTTCTGTCCTGGTGGGAAAAAAACCAATTTATAAAATATGAATTATATATCTCAAGGCCACAAATCTCAATGCAACATGTGATTTTAGAAGGGTGCAAGCTGAATCCAGAAATGGTTGTTTTAGAAGCAAAGTAAAAATTTTTTTCCTAAATCTTGGAAAATAAGAAACCTTTACTTAATGTTATGTTCATTTGCAAATCGAATGAGAAAGTTAAAATGAGACAGGTAAATAAGATAGTATTTGTAAAAGAGTTTGCTTAGCCGCATTATATAAATGTTATTTATTATTTTTTCTAGAATCAAGAAGTATTTTGGGGATTCTGCTAAAACTTCCAGATTGCGTCCCTGCAATTTAGACCAAGTAAAATCTGAACAGGTATTTTATCTCATTAATAATAGTAATTCTTCTAACCCTAAATATCCAAAAGCAAATGCCTCGCCACTAATACTGAAAATTATACATAGGACAAGAAAAGTAAAGCAATCATATTTATCCATGAATGAACATGAATAGTAATCAGTTAATAAAACTTTCCAATAACATCTTTGTGGCCCTCAGTATGCACACAGCAATGATAAATGTTTCTTCCTGGTCCTGAATGAAAATCTAAATTATTAACATTTAATAAATTAAGGAATCCAAAAATTTTTTTTTAAAAAAAGAGCTTTTAGGGGCCGGCCCGGTGGCGCACTGGATAGTGCACCGCTTGGGAAGCGCGGCGGTGCTCCCGCCCGAGGGTT